GGTGCTGGTTCTGGGGGTGCTGGTGCTGGAGGCGCTGGCACTGGAGGTGCTGGTTCTGAGGAGACTGGAGCTGGAGGCACTGGTTCTGCGGAGTCCACTCCGCCTCCCCACCGCCACGACACACGTCTCCAGGCGGCCCGTCGGCGTGAGCGTGAGGAGCAGGTGCTGTTGGAGAGGGAGCGGCAGGAGTTGCGGCAGTTGGACCTGCTGGAGCAGCAGCAGCAGCAGCCGCAGCAGCAGCAGCAGCAGCAGCAGCAGCAGCAGCAGCAGCAGCAGCAGCAGCAGCAGCAGCAGCAGCAGCAGCAGCAGCAGCAGCAGCAGCAGCAGCAGCAGCCGCAGCAGCAGCAGCAGCAGCAGCAGCAGCAGCCGCAGCAGCAGCAGACACCGCCGCCGCAGCTGCGACCACAGCAGCTCCCTCTGGAGCGGCAGTTGTTCCCACCCGTGAGTGGCCTTCGGGCCCTTGGTCTTCCCTCCTCTCCTCCTGTTCACACTCCGTCCCCTCCAGCGTTTGGTCCCACGTTTCCTCCTCCTGACGACAGTCCGGCGGTCTGGTCTTCTCCTCCACCGCAGTCTCCTCCACCTGTTGTCCCACACTCTCGTGTCCGTCCCTGTCCTCCGCGTGCTCGTCACTCGTCTCCCGTTACCGAACTCCGCACTGCCCTCCTTTGTTCGTCTCTTCGTCGTCCTCCTCCTGAGTCCGTTCTCCCGTCTCCGCCTCCGTCCTCTCTCCCTTTCCCCCCTACTCCTGTCACTGACTACTACCGCGCTGTTCGTCCTGTTGTCTCTCGTGTCCTCGCCACTCTTGTCACCGACTCTCGTTTCCCTCCGTCGTCTGTCTCGGCTCTCACTGCCGCTGTCGCTGAGTTTGCTGCCGCCAGTCGCCTTGACTACACCACCCGTGTGGTGCCAGCTCCTCCCTCCCGTCCTCTGTCCGTCGGGGGTGGGTTTGCCCTTGGCTGTGACGTCCTAGAGGACAGAGAGTCTGAGCTGGAGTACTGGGCAGCCGCTTCCCCCTCTGTCTGTGCCATGCTGCTATCCCCTGAGGGAGACCCCGACGCCCTTGACATACCGACTCCTCGCACTTACCGCGAGGCAGTGTCAGGGGCGTGGGCCTCACAGTGGAAAGCGGCTATGGCCTCGGAGTTAGCGTCTTGGAGATCTACAGGCACGTACGTCGACGCAGTTCCCCCTCCCAGGGCGAACGTAGTCGATGGCATGTGGCTCTTCAAGGTGAAGCGGCCGCCTGGATCACCGCCTATGTTCAAGGCGCGCTACGTGGCTAGGGGTTTCAGTCAGCATGAGGGAGTTGACTTCTTCCAGACCTTCGCCCCGACCCCGAAGATGACTACTCTTCGGGTGTTACTGCACGTAGCAGCACAGCGAGACTACGAGCTGCACTCCCTTGACTTCTCTACTGCGTTTCTCCAGGGCCGACTACACGAGGAGATCTGGCTGCGCCGCCCTCCTGGCTTCACTGACACCTTCCCACCTGGGACCCAATGGAGCCTGAGACGGCCAGTCTACGGTCTCCGCCAGTCGCCCCGTGAGTGGCACGACACTCTTCACTCCACGCTTCGTGACCTTGGGTTTTGTCCTTCCTCTGCCGACCCGTCGCTGTTTGTTCGCACTGGTTCCACTCCTTTCTTTATACTAGTGTACGTCGACGACTTGGTCTTTGCCACAGCAGACAGGGCAGCTCTAGCTCAGGTGAAGTCCGAACTGTAGAAGAGACACACGTGCACTGACCTAGGTGAACTGCAGCGCTACCTTGGCCTGCAGATCACCAGGGACAGAGCCGCTCGCACCATCACACTGACTCAGTCACACATGGTGCAGCAGGTCCTTCGGCGGTTCAACTTCCAGTTCTCCACCACACAGCCCACACCTCTTGCTGTTGACCACAGACTCACTGGCCCCTTTCCCGACGAGCCTTTTGAGTCCAGTGGTCCCTACGCAGAGCTGGTGGGCTGCCTCATGTACCTGATGACTTGTACTCGGCCGGACCTCGCCTTTCCCCTCAGCGTCCTCTCTCGCTTTGTTGCGACTGGGAGACACCGTCCTGTCCACTGGACAGCTGCTGTGAGGGTGGCGAAGTACCTGGCGACTACATCAGGCATGGGGCTTGTGCTTGGAGGGACTCAGCCAGTGGCGTTGACTGGTCACTGCGACTCTTCCTACGCTGACGACGTGGAGACTCAGCGCTCGACTCAGGGTTACTGCTTCAGTTTGGGTGCTGGTGCTGTGTCGTGGAGGTCTACACGGTCGTCGTCTATGGCTACTTCCAGTGCAGAGGCAGAGATATACGCTGGTGCCATGGCGGCACAGGAGCTTCGCTGGTTGACCTTCTTGCTCGCCGACCTTGGTGAGCGGCCTCGCTCTGCACCGACCTTGTACGCTGACAACAAGGCCATGATCCTCCTGTGTCGAGAGCCTCGACTGGAGAGCAGAGTGAAGCATATTGACGTGAGGTACTTCCTTCTGCGAGAGCTACAGCGACGCGGCCAGGCACGCCTGGACTTTGTGGCCTCAGAGGCCAACACTGCAGACGTCTTCACCAAGGCCCTGGCGCTTGGTGACCACCACAGGTTCTGTGTGCAGTTGGGGCTTGTTGAGGTAGGCCCTCGGTTGCTGTAGACTTGCTGTTTGCTCTGCTTGTTGTGCTTTGCTATATATATCCTGGTGAACTCTTGAACTGGCCTTGTGGCCGCTTGCTTGTGCTCGGAATTTGTGTGGTGTCCTTGAGATCCACCCTGAGCTTGCTTTGCTTCTTGCATTGACTGGTCTTGTGACCGTTTGTTCACCCTGCTTGCTTTGATGCCCCTCACTTAGCCTATGGGGGTGTGTCAAATGTTATTATAGGTACTTAGGCTACAGTGAGTAGCACTCTAGGGAGTACAACACTTTTAGGGTTGCTATTTGTATCCCTTGTTTCCCTAGTTCACACATTCCGTTGTTCGCTAACTTTGAGAGATTTCATTGTGTTAAAGGTAAAACGTTTTTTTACAGTATGTGAGCAAACACCAGGCACCTAGAATGGAATCAATAAGGGCGTGTTACGTACCCCACTTTTTGGTGGCCGGTCGAGGCAACCCAGCGACGGTCGAGGCAACCAGCAACGTTCACCGTACATGACCCAGCTGGATCTTAAACGTAACGCATAAAACCGAAAAGTTTCCAAACTCCAAATTGGCCGGTCGAGGCAACCAGCGCAGGCTAACGAGGTATGTAACAAGTTATAGCACTACACTGCAGCTGTATATAGCTTGAACTACACTTTCAAGTACTAACAAAGCGATCAATAAACCATGCAAAGGACATGCAGTTCATTCCACAGGCAGCAGGCCACAGGCCCACGCAATACAGGGATGAAACGGGTGGACGTGACAAGACCACGTACGCGTGCCCAACCTCATGTGCACCGCACAGAGATGTAATCACAGACGTTGTTGGAAACAGTAGCGTCGTTTGGCCTCTCTTGATCCCGAGTCACGACATGACACGACACGACCAAGCAAGGGCAGAATGTCCAGCGTGCCGGAGAAATTACAGTCAAACTGTAACTTGAGGGTAGCCGTTCTGTCAAAGGGTAGTCACCCTCCCAAGGGCGGTCTGTTATTGATCTCCAGGCTGAAATATGTAATTTCGATAAGACTACGAGTTTCAAGTTCTGGCTTGGAACTTACGGTACAGAATGGTCAGATAAAACTCGTTTCATCTGGCACGGTGGATTCATCGTTGGCTTCCAAGTCTGGTTCAGGCATGGGCTCTCAGAAAATGGAAAACTCCAAGCGAGTGTGTTGTCAGCAATGTCCTGGAACTTCGGGGTGAGAAATGGCCCGGGTGAATGAATGGATGTCATGCCAGTCACCTTGAAGGGATGCTTTTCAGGATTCAGCACAAAATTCTCTTTGCAACAATTCAACTCCACCGCCATTCTGTGCTGCTGGAGATCTGCTCTGCAGCTTGGTCTTGTCAGTTCCCCGCCTAAACGTAGCTTGCATCGTTCACTAGTGAGAACTCACTCCCTGTTTCTATACACGTACCTCCCACCGACGCGCTTGTAGTGTAGGTCTCAAAACCTTTTCATGCTGCCGAAAAGTCGTGTGTTACATTACGTTGTTGTACGTTTGTCGATTATCTGTGCTGTTTTGGCAACCTCCAGGCCAGATTTTAGGGAATTGCAGCACTACTATTGTAACCGTTTGCTCCAGAGTACAGTATGTCGGGATTTTTTTTTTGCATCTGGCTTCTAAATCCACGTGGTGTTGCAGTTCTTAAAGCCGCGGTGCAGATATCTTAGGAACAGTGACAAACAGTTTTTTGTCTTGTTCCTTCCTGGTCGCCAATTGGCTAGCGAGAGAGTAGATAATGTTGCGATGAAGAGAAAAAGGAAACAACTGAGGCGAACGTCGCGAACCTCGAAAGTGAGGGGGAAGGGGAAGGGGTGGGGGGAGGGAAGGGGGAAACACACACGACAACGCGAAAATCGGAACCCATGAATACGCCGTCATCTCTACATTGCATAACGAAAGAGTTTGTATTTCAAATAAGCTGAGTACTACACAAATATAATATTCTGCGACTCAAAGGCACATTCTAGGATTTCAGAAATATCAAAGTTTGGGGTGGTTGTTTCATTTCTTTTTTTTTTGGGTGCAACGAATGTACACATGGCAGGCAAACATGAGTGTCTTTAAATCCAACATGGCATCTCGAAGATGAGCTAAACTTCACACCCCTCTGATCCATTATTGATGCAGCTGTCCACCGATAGCAGGGGGGGAGGGGGGTAGGGAAGGACACCAGCCGTAGAAGTGAAAAATGTTCGATGGGGAAATTGAATGGAGGGTTGGCAGAAACAGTGGGGTGCGCGAAGGTTCAAAGTGGTGGGGTGGGTGAAGGGAAGTAGTAGGGTGGGTGAAGGGATGGCCGGGAGAGGGGTGAATGGTGGGATGGGATAGGGGGAAAGGGAAGGGATGGGAGAAAGGGAAAGGAAGGGTTTAGGAATCGGGGGATGCCTTGAAAGGACAAGGGTAGGGTAAAGGGTGGATGGTGGGGGAAGGAGGGACGGACACCGATGGAAGGAGGGACGGGGACGGGGGGAAGGTTTGAACGGTAACGGGGGAAAGGAGGGACGGCGGGAGTGGGGGAGAGGAGGATTGGTGGTGGAGAGACGGTGGGAGCGAGCCGCTTGCTACCGTCGCGCCCAATCCTGCCTCCTGGGAAGGGCAAGAGGCTAAGGTATCGACGGACAAGGGGAGTTCGGGAATGGGGAGGCGTGAAACCGAAGGTGTGGCATAGGAGGATGTGCCATGGGGGATGGTGGCAGGGGGGAATGCCCTGGAACAAACAATCTCTCACGCTTGAACTAGGACAGGAATGGGATAGGACAGGGGGAAGGAGAAAGCGACAGGGGGAATGGGATAGGACAGGGGAGGGACAGGAGAGGAGGGAAAGGGATGGCCATCAGAAGGGTGAATGGTGGGATGGGATAGTGGGAACGGGAAGGGATGTGAGAGAGGAAAAGGAAGGGTTCAGGAAAGGGGGAAATGAGCAGGAAAAGCAGCGACGGTAGTGGGGGAAAAGGGACGAATGGGGGCAAGGGGACGGATGAGAGCAGGGGGGAGCAGTGGGTTGGGAGAGGGGAAAGGAGGGAGGGAGAAGAAGGGGAGGGAAGGATAGGGGGACAGGGCAGAAAGAACAGGGGGGAGGATTAAGCATCAGGAGGAACGAAAACGATGAAAGGGAGGGAAGGACTAAGGGGAAAGGGAGAGAATGACAGGGGGAAAGGGTGGGAAGGACATGGAGGAAAGGAGGGAAGGACAGGGGGGAAGGGATAGAAGGAGTGGGGGAAAGGGAAAGAAGGACAGGGGCCTATAGCATCGATCGCTGCTCTTCCCACCCTTTCCCCCTGTCCTCCTCTCCCATTCCGGCCCTGTCTGCTCGCTACCCTTGCCTTCGCCGCATCGCTACCAATATCGCTCGCTAAAGCCGCTTGCGAGGTTTGGACGCGAGATGCTTCGCCACCGTCGGAACAGATGCTTCGCCACCGTCGGAACAGATGCTTCGCCCCGCTGCTCGCTAACGACACCCTGCTGCACGCTAACGTCGCCCCGCTGCTCGCTACTGTCGTTATCGCTGCTCACTATCGTCATTGCGCTGCTGTCGCCATGCTGTTCGCTACCATCGCAACCCTGCTCGCTGCCGTCGCAACCCTGCTCGCTGCCATCGCAACCCTGCTCGCTACCGTCGCCGCTCTGCTCGCTATCGTCGCCCCGCTGCTGGCTACCGTCGCACCCAATCCTGCCTGTCGCCATCGTCGCTGCTTGCCACCGCCGATTCGTGAGAAATAGAGGGACGGGAGAGGGAAAACTGAACGACGACAGCGGAGGAAATCTAGCGCAATGCGCTACGGGTACGACTGCCGTGGTGTTTTTTGAGGTACGAAATAGCGCAGATATTCGAGCGCACACTAAAAGGCGAAGAAGAGAGATAGATATGAGGCGAATGGCTCTCAGTAGCCCTACGGGAAGGCACTTCAAGTTAGTAGTAACCTAGCCTAGCGCGAGAGATTGCCGAGTTTGAGTAGTTTTGAGTTCAAGTTTCAAGTTTCAAGTTTGATGCCTGGCCCCCCCTTCATGCTGTTGTGCGGTGCTTTTCCGCAAGCCCTCCCCAGCTTCCCCCCCACTCATCATGCTGCGAGGCACTTTTCCGCACGACCTTCCCCCGCTCTCAGAATGCTCTGCCTGCTCGACTTCCAGTGTATACTGGGTAACGCGCCCTTCAAGCTATAATACTTTGAACTGGCGCAGAGATATCTGCACCGCGGCTTTCCAACGCATTGGCATAAAGCAACGTAGTTACTAGGATTCGATTCCGGTATGCTTACCAAACCTTGCTAACCGACAGAATCGACCATTCCAAATGCTGCATCGTCGCGGGAAAGCGCCACTCGTGATTGCAAATTGTATAACACTTTCGTACTGTAAGGCTTTCCCTCCGTAACACGACACGACCCACTCCTCTTCTTTCTCTCATCTCTCCTCGTCCGCAGTCTCCATGTCGACTCGCCTCCTCTGTTCGCCATGGCTTCTCCCATCACACTCACCAATCACGATTAGAAACCCACCCCCCTCCCCTGCAACCGTTGGGAGCGACGCCGCCACCCAGGGCCCTTCCCATCCCACTCTCCTGTTTTGTCGCCTTTTCGATCTTCATTCCACAGCACCGCATTCGTCTGTTATCGCCGTCTGTCAAATAGACTACTCCAATCAATCAAGACCAAACGAATCTGGTTAGACGCGGGCTTCCCCGCGACTCCGCTCCGCTCGCGGCAGTTCGGGGGGTTCTTCTTCCCCATCCCCTCCTTTCCAAGCCATCTGATTGGTCCGTCTGCACTTTCCTCCTGATCCTGATTCCTCCTGATCTTGAGTCTTGGGATCCCAAGGGATGAGTCATTCTCCCCCACCCCCTCAACTCCCCCCCACTTCCCCCCTTTCCTTATCCTTCCAACCTATAATCCGTCACCATGACACCAAACCCTCCTTCAATAACACAGTCACTGCAGTATAAGCATCGCAGAGTTCCCTCGGTTTCGTTCCATCATCGCGAGACACGGAAGTCACCACTCTCCTTTCCTCAATAGATATCCTTAAGTTCGACATTTAACGTTCCAGGCTTCGATTCGGAGTGTAACGAGTCATAATAGTATTTCTTCCACCAAGACTCCAAGATAGCACCGACTCGGACTGCCACTGCCGACGATCCTCACTCCGCTGATACCATATCCGTGACTACTACCAGTACTAATATTACTACCACCTCCAGCACTGTTCTCTCCTTCTTGAAGTCTCCTTATTTCTGATTCTTTCGGCTGCCTGTCTCTGCGACTCTGAATTCCGTTCACGTGCCCAAGCTCTGACCAGCAACCTAAGCAGGCCGATCTGATCTTACCGGTTCGGATGACACATCGGCCCAAGCCCAGCATCACTGGCAGCAGCGGCAGAAGGAGCAGGAGCAGAGCCGGGGCAGCCGTGTTGACGGCAACAACCACTAGTCACACCATGTCGCAGGGATTCGGGGCAAACAGACTTCGCCACCAACACCTGCACCAGCAGCAGCCGCGTGAGATCACTACCACTACCTTATTCCCGGACCTTGTAACAGTGGCCGTTACCACCAGCACCACCAGCGGCGAAGGTGGCGGCAGCGCTGGCGGCATCGGTGGCGGCAGCGCTGGCGGCATCGGTGGCGGCAGCGGCAGCGCTGGCGAACCGAGTTTCGCCTTAGTACCCGGCAGGCCGGGGCCGGTGTCTCCGAATCTCAGCAATGCCAGCAGCACCTCCAGTGGCGGCATCCGTCATCAGACTGTGGAACCCCCGAGTCCGAGCCTCGCCGGCCGAACCTGTTCGCAGCAGCAGCGGTTTGCGAACCTGGAGGTTCGGCGCGCGGCCGGCTAGACGCACCACCTCCTCCTCCTCCCTCACCTCCTCCCCTTCCCTTTACCGCTCCCCGTCTTACTCCCCGTCCCCGCACTCCTCCTCTCCTTACTCCCCTTCTGGTCGCCAGATGTATGATGGGAGGGGAGAAAAAGAGAGGGGAGCCCCAGGTGGCATTATGGAAGGGGAGCTGTCAGGTCACGCTGAGCCGCATGCATGGACTCATGATTGCATGGGAAAGGGAGGATCCCTCTCATGTGACGGTCACCAATGGCCGCACCATCACCAGCACCAGCACCAGCACCAGCACCAGCAACAGCACCAGCACCGGCATCATAGCCATCAGGAGGCGCAGTATTCCCAGTGCCAGTGCCGGTGCCTGTGCCGGTGCCAGTGCCGGTGCGACCACAACCATCAACATGCCTGCCTGTGCCAGTGCCGGTGCCAGTGCCGCAACAGAAGGCGGTCTTACAGCTTCCCAACCAGGCTGTTGGAAGGAACACATGTTCACCCTCCCCCAGATGCACCTGTTTCGCCTGCTGCAGCTGCTGTATCGGCGGTTACCACTGCTCACGCCAGGTCACACCTCAGGATTCCCTCTCAAGTGGACCCTCCCCCAGCTGCACCTTTTTCTGCATGTGATACACGTAATGCAGGAGCATATAACACCTGCATCAGTGCATCGCCAGTCAGCAAACCCCTTCCTGCCAGCATCAATCTTCCCACCAGCATCAATCTTCCCACCAGCGTCAATCTTCCCACCAGCATTTGTCGAGTTCCTTCGCACCCGATCTCCTGCCAGTTGAACTGCTCCAAGCCCGCTGCTGCTTGCTCCTCCTTCACCTCAGTTTTCCAGTGGGCTGCTGCCACCAGGATTGCTGTGCGTACCATGGCCTCTCACTCCAAAAGCTGACTAGCTTGGGGAAGTCTCACTGCTTGCTCCTTCTCCTCAGTTTTCCAGTGGACTGCTGTCCCCAGGATTGCTGTTCGTACCATAGCTGCTCACACCAAGACCTGAATCAGGGACTGCCCTTATACCAACAGCTTTATTGCACAGTGTAGCACCATGTCTTCTGTCAACAAAGTATGAAAATCATATCAGAGTTTCCACCCATAGCAGTTTTTATTTCCAGTGAAATGCCCACTATTGTGCAGTGTAGCACCATGTCTTCTATCAGGCCCACAAAAACATATCACATCAAGCAAGCAAGCCCTGCTCGTATATACCGGTATATAAATATATGTATATACACATGACGTTATGAGATTTGCCAACCCACTATTGCTTGTCCACTGGTGGTAAAAACCGACTCCGTGGCACAAGGAGAACACCCCTTTCAGCTCCACAGCTGCCCCATTCTTTTCATCAATGCTAGCTGGAACCCACCTTGTCAGGACGAGCAGAAATGATGATGCCATGGTCATACAGCAGGCAGTTCATTGACCACTAGATGCCATTGTCAATGAAGTACTCCATTGTCGATGCACGGCTGAAAGACCTGGCGTGAACATGTGAATGACCTGATGTAATAAACACCTGCATACTAAAACTCAAATATAGACATTTCTGTTAAAAAGCTACGTTACTAGATTTATTATATACAGAGTCGAGCATTTTTTACGAAGCGTAAACTTCACTGACAAAACATTCCGAAGCGCAAATAAAACGAGGGACTCTTGCCGCGGTCTGAACACAACCAGAGAAGAACCCGGTGGATATTGAAGCTCGCGTCTCTTGAAATCTCAGCTGTTGGTGTTTGGCGGGGATGGGGTCTGAAATATGCGAGAAAGTAAAGTAAAAGTAAAGTTATAGGGGAAGCCTCCTTTGGTAATACCCCGGCTGTCGGTCGTAACCCGCCTCCCCATGTGTTTACACGCCTCGCTGGGTAACGAGGTTGTTCTATCCACTCCCAGATGAGCACCTGTGTAGTCCCTTTTAGTGGGGACTGGCTGTTAACGCCGCAGGGGAGATTTGATCCCGGGACCTCATCTTTCGGAAGTGAACCAGCTAACTAGCTGGGCCACTTCAGGATCTGAAATATACACCATACCCTAAACCAGGAACAAACTTGATACTTCAGAAAAACCTGGGGCATCAGAGTGGACATAAAAAACCGCTCTGATGTGTAGAAAAACAGAAAAGGAAAAAAATACTCTGATAAAACATCGCTGTCAGAGAAAGACAAGGCATCAGCCACGCGGTCGTGCAGGCATGCAGCAGCCTCAGCAAGGCGCTTCGGGAAGGCTGACGAGAAGACGCGAACAATTCCGATGTCAGACGTGACGAAGCCATTGAAGCTGGACCCAGCTGCTTGGGTGTACGCACCCATCTTCGGAAACACCTGCAAGGAAGGAAAAAACGGGACAGAATCAACCAGATAGGAAGCCGAAAGCAACACACACGATAGAACCCACGGCATAATGACGGAACCCCGATCCCATAATGCAGCCATTCTCCAAGAAACATTCAGCCCAGGAGAAGGCCATAGTACAAAAGAATATTCCTTTCAACTCACCAGCCAGTCATCCAGGTCGAGGCGCGGCAGCCACACATCCCTCAGAATCGTGTCCAAGCCATCGCACGTCGGCCCAAACACCGTCGACCGGCACAGCTGCCCCTCCTCCTCCGCCGCATCTTGTCCCTCAGCAGCCATCTTGACAGGGCGAGCGGAGATGACGGCATGGTCGTACAGCAGGCAGTTCATGGACCCGTAGATGCCATCATCAATCCAGTATTCCATCACCGCGCATTCACCAGCCGACGCGTTTCCCGAGGAGCTCGACGCGTGCTCGGTGAGAGCGGCGAGCGCAGCAGCCTTGCTGGCCGTGGTCCTTCGGGAGCGCACGCCAAACACCTTCGTAGCCAGCGTGAAGGGAGCTTCCGCGAAGAAGCGCCCAGGTTCGGCGATCACACGCACGCCCATCTCTTCAGGAAAGTACTTTGCCAGAGCGACGTTCACGGAGTAGCACGCCTTCAGGAACGACATCTCCCCATCAGCACCACCATCCTCAGCGCCCTCCGCTCCACCACCGGCGCTCGCGTAGTCGTCATCCTGCAGCCCGTCGTACGTGAATCCTCCTCCGATGTCCAGCAGCGACAACGGCGCCATGCCCAGCTGCTCCGCCACGTTGAAGACATCCCTCGCGAGCATGATCGCGTCTCCGAGAATCCGCGCATCCTTGGCTCCGCTGCCCACGTGGAACGCCACGCCAACCACCTCCACGCCGAGCTCCTGCGCCGCCGCCAGCAGCTCCGGGCACTCCTCCGCCTCCGCGCCGTACTTCACCCCCATGGGGCAGCGCGCGCCCGGGTCGTCCACGCGCACGCGCAGCACCGCCTGCGCGGACGGGTTCCAGCGGCGCAGCTTCTGCAGCTCCGTGACCGAGTCGAACGTCGTCATGTTCACGCCGGCCACCGCCGCGAAGCGGATGTGTGCCGGGAGCTTGCAGGGGTTGGCGTAGATGATGCGGGAGGGGTCCGGGAGGGACCCGCCGCACGCCGCCGCGACCATTTCCATCTCGGCTTTGCTGGCCACGTCGAAACCTGCGCCGACGGATGCGAGCAGGGAGAGGAGCGCCGGGTCGGGGTTGCACTTGACGGCGTAGAAGGGGTGCACACGTGGCAGCAGCTGCGTCCACGTGGCGTGCAGCTGCAGCGCGACGCCGGCGTCCATGACGTAGAAGGCGGAGTCGAGGCCGTCGAACACGCACGCGCGGATGTGAGCGTCGATCGCGGCGGGAGACGCGGCGCTGACGAGGGACGGCGCGAGATCCGCAACGATGGCAGCAGCCTTGGAGCCGTAAAGCTTCTGCGCCTCGGCGACGGCGGCCGAGACGGCAGGAGATATAGCAAGTGTCGATGTCTTCTCCTCCGAGTCGCCGGTGAACTCTTCCTGGAAGTTGACGTCGTTGGGCGAGTCGAGGGAAGCGAGGGAGGCGCCGTGGGAGGCGGCGAGGGAATCTGCTGACTCAGCGGAAATCGTGGTAGAAGGAATCTCCGCTGCCGCGTTCAAGTGCCGCTTCCTCCCAATGACGTCGCTTATGATCATTTGCGCGCGTTGGTGCTGCGCCCGAGCTGGCAATTGTGACGGTCGCCTCGACCACCACCAACCTCCTCGTTTCTTTTATTAGTGTCGTACGACGGCCCGTCGAGAGCTTGCCAAGTTTTAGGATGAGTAAGGAACGCGCCGCGCCGCGGCTCGCCTCAGGGAACAGGAACGTCCCGCTCCTCGGGAGTACCAACAGCGAGCGCGCTCGAGCCCTCCTCGACGCGCAGGTTCGAGGAGCTCCGAGCTAGCGCTGCAAGTGGGTGATCATGTCCTTGGGCGGGAACAGCGGGGAGCCGGGAAGACGAATCGGCTCAATTCGGGGGAGGGCGTACGTATCTACCAGACTCGAAGATTTTCTGGCGTGGGATTCGCGCACCCAGCCGCACCTGCTGTTGCAGCTGACGGCCGCCGCCGGCCCGTGCCCTGGCGTGAGCCACGGGCGTCGTGTCAGCGTGAATCGCGCTGAAGCGGGTGCCAGCGTGAGACAGGGACCTCCGAGGTATAGGGACAAACAAAGAGAAGGATTACTAGGCATTGAGCCGTGATCATCTCAAGTGCCGTCGCCATTGTGTCAATGCCATGTTATCATGGAGGCTAACGAGCGGCTGCTAGAATGAACGAACTCCCGTGGAGGTGCAACTCTTGTAAAGCAACGCGGGTTGTCGTGCGACGGACGGGACGGGACGGGGGCCTTTCTGTTCGCTCGGCGCTCAGCTCATTGCTAAATCCTCTCCTCAGTGCTCGATGCTCGATGGCCATTGCTCGCTGGTGTTGGATTGCTCTCTGCTCGTTGCTGTCGGCTCTCTTGTCTGCTGCTCTCCCAGCTTGCTGCTACAGTAAAGAATGCCCTGCCGCTAAACCCGGCGTGCCGTGGTTTGGTGTGGAGACGAATGTCAACAACACCTTCGTTTCGTATCCTCAGGTTGAACCCATCTCATCGCCACGTGCCTGCGAAACATGCGACACTCAGGCGATGCGAATCCAAATGTGAAATTGCTCGTCACCGCGAATAGAGTCGTTTGATCTGGCTTGGGCGAAATGCATGGTCGTTTCTATTGGCGAATTCTTCATTCAAAATCGCTAATCGTGTTACCAGCAAGCGAGTTTCTGGAATCTCGTCAGCCCCCACAGCACAAGATTGCATGTGGAAGTTGGAACCTTCCGCAAAGAAGAGTCCAGGTTCAGCAATCACACAAACCCCCACTGAAACGTTACCGTCACGTTCACGGAATAGCACGCCTTCTCGCCTTCAGGAGCTCCGCGAATGTGTAACTTTCGGTATGCGTGAGCTGAAGGAAGTTGTTTCTGTTACCTATTTAGAACCTGTCGTGTTCATCCTCCAACTAATATCGCTCACCTTTCACGAAGTTGCATTTCAAATCCCCATAGATTCCAACTAGTAGACTAATTGCGAGAACGGATGAGTTTACGCGACACGTCTAGACTCGCAAACCACATCCCACACGTCTAGACTCGTGAACCGGCGGCGCGATAAGCGAGAATTTTCGACGCAGAAGTCCTAGCAAACGGTTACGTTGTTTATACGCGCATACGCCAACGCCTCGCCTCAGGCTACACTCTCGATTTCGCCTAACTCACGCCGTCGTAAACAGAGCCGGTCTCCCCTGAAACGGTAACAGTGCGCCGCCCGCCCGGTTTCCAGGCCCGCCACCTCCCACACTCGTCTCGCCACCCCACGCGGCCTCGCCTCGCCTCTCCCCGCCTTGCCTACGCTCAATACGACCTTCTCTCACCATCATTCAAGGCCTCGCCTCGTTATGCAACTCGTCCTCGTCTCGCCACCGTTGAAGGCCTCGTCGCGCGCACCATCGCGGCCTCGCCACGCCCCGCTTACCTTCAATACGACCTCCTCTGGCGAGTCACCACCGTTGAAGGCCTCGCCTCGTTATACCATCGCGGCCTCCGAGGCGTCTCGCCTCCTCTCGCGGACGCGTCGTCTCGCTTCGCCGGATCTCGCGGCGGCCTCACCGCGCTCTGCCACGAAGGTTTCCCGCAAGTCCAGTCAGAGCACACTTTTGTGCGACGCGCTTATTCTCCGCCTTCCCCCAGCACCAATACCAGCAGCAGCAGGCCTGGTAACCGCGACCGTCACCGTCACCACCACCACCAGCAGCAGCGGCGGCGGCGGCGGCCAGTAGCGGACGCCGATGGTGAAGCGAGTTTTGCCTTACGGGGCAGGCCAGGGGAATGCGTCTCCGCGTCTCATTAAAGGCGGCAACATCATCAGCATCATCACCATGAGCATCATGAGCGCCGTCTCCAGCGTAGTCACCACCAGCATTATCGCCATCATTCTCACCATCAGCACCATCATTCGCACCATCGTTACCACCATCTTAAGCACCATCATTGGCACCATCAGTAGCACCGGCATTAGCACCATCATTAGCACCTTCGTCGCCATCATTAGCACCATCATTAGCACCATCAGCATCATCCGCACCAGAGCCAGAGAGAGGAGCAGCGCCATCCCCAACCCCATTACCAGCCCATCTGCTATCCCATCACCTGCATCATAGCAGCATAGCATCACAGTCCATCCCAAGAGGACGGTCCCATACGATAGCATCATAACCCATCCCAATAGGATGGTCCCATACCATTGCATCATAGCAATGAGAAGACGCAGTGTTGCTACGGTTGCTGCTGCTACAACCAAAATAGCAGCCATGATTGCTCATGGCAGTGCCACTCCAGATGCACCAGCCATAGCCATAACTGCTGCTGCGGGACTGCTTCAGCTGCTCCAACCACAACCACCGCCATGACTGCTCCTGGCAGTGCCGCCCCAGAAGGCCGTCCTACAGATACTAGGTCCATGGCACCGATACTACGGTAGGTCCATGGCACCGATACTAGGTCCATGGCACCGATACTAGGTCCATGGCACCAATACTAGGTCCATGGCACCAATACTGGGTCCATGGCACCAATACTAGGTCCATGGCACCGATACTACGGTAGGTCCATGGCACCGATACTAGGTCCATAAATGGACTCGCGTTCTGTAGCAAGGCAGGGTGTGCTAGCAATTACCATGGTTTGAATGTACAGTAAGATACCATACAATACAACTACACACAAGTTATACAATGATACCGCATGTGTGACCATTTACCCGTATTAGTCAAGGTGCTCTGTGGTCGCCCGTACTTTTAGCCCCTGTTGCTTGCTGCTCTTCTTTTTTCAAACAGGCTGCTTCTTCATGGATTGTCCACATGCATTGGGGAAATGCAGCTCAGAAATCCCCGTTTTCCTTCACGTGCTAACTGTTGGGTGTTGTGGTGCACAATGTGCGTACATTATCAACACATACGCAACACAATAACATGGTTTGCGAGAAGGCAAAAAGCGGTGAGTCCTAGGTAACAGGTAGATGTGCATTCCACGGACCACTCATGGGATTCCCTTGCAGTATGGTTCTGAGTAAACGTGGTGTTAATGCATTTGACAAAACGTTTTGAACTGTAACCTTCATTACGAGCGTTCGCATCCGTTCCATAACAAGCGGGACGACGGGGCTGGGTTTACCGAGTATCATCATATTTTCCCGTGCTGTCACGTCGCGTGACTCACGTCCCCCCTGACCCCATCTGGAGCGGGGAGGTGAGTGGCTGACGGCTCTTCGCGTTGTGGTGGGACCGCGCAACTTCGGTTTCTAGACGTGGACGCTTCCACTCCACATCACAGCGAGTGTGCCGAGGCTCCGACAGCAAGTTCATTGTTCCCCCCAGGTTCAGGTTGTTATCGTAGGCTGCCCCGAAACATCTGGGCTTTATTGTAGGCCACTAGATGGGCTCATCAATTATTGATCGGACAGGGTTCGGAGTTTGTTCAAATAATTGAGCTTTGAAGCACACAGCTCATAGCCAGGCAATTTCTGTGGTTAAAATGTAAGTTTGGTAGCGAAGCTTTTTTTTTTTTAGTTTGGAAATTAAAAGCGGAAATTAAAAGCGGCCCTCCCGGCCTGGGTTCGCGCAATCTCCGGATTGTTAGCCTCCACGAACACGTTCCCTGCTGGCAGCTAAGGAGCGGTGGTGCCGACACCTGGCTGCATTAGATATGGTTTTTGCTAAAATGAAATCAACAAGGGGTTTCCCTCGTATCGTCCAAACCGGGACAGGTTCGGAAATTGTGTTGTGGTGCACCATCTACGCCGAACCGTCACATCTGAGAAGCTGCTCTCAAATAATTCAACGGCCAAGATGGTCCGAACACCTAGGAGGTACCAAATAGGCCACCAAGATGGTCCTCAGACGTTCGATGAGATATATCGGACGGTTGAATTCGACTTACAACATTGACAGCTTTGCAAAGAGCTCTCAAGCGTTTGGTTCGGCGGCCAGGTAGGTGCACAGAACCAAGTCGGAAGAGAGGGGTTTCTGGAAGGTTGAATAGGGTCGATTGACAACAACAGGCGAAATGAGAAGAGGGCAGCTTGCTTGTTGAGAAGGAGAACGAACCGTTCGATACCGAGTAAAACCGATCCAATGAAGCATCGTTTCGCCTTCGGCTGACCACTCTTCCTCAGCTCCAAATCTCTGTTCTGTCAGGCGACCATCTCATCTCACCCTCTTCGCCAGCCTATTTAGCCATTCCAGATTCTTCTCATTTATCCTAGCTGCCTGAACACTGGTATAAGGGTTTTTGCTCCCTCTTGCCTTCATTATCTCCTCCAGCTCCCTTGTTCACAGTCGTCGCTCATTGTCACGTCTTAGCTCCTCGCTGTGGACTCCTGGTAGCTTCCTTTCTAGCTGTGTTCGGCGGCTCACCCAAGACTCCCTCATTCCCTCTTATTAACAGTGAGTGTCTAGCTTTCATGGCAATCTGTTGATAGCTGAATTCGTGTTCCCGGAGAACCAGTTATGCTAATATTTCCTGTGATTTGTTGCGCTGTGCAGGCGTCGATGACCTTATGATGGATTCAAGAAATTTAAGTAAACGCAGTACATCATCGTCTAAATCCAACGCGACTACCT